TGCCTATAGACTCAACACTGCACCATAGACTCACCACCCACTTACTCACCCACTCACTCACACCCAACCACTCACCCACCTACTCACCCACCCACTCACCCACCTACTCACCCACCCACTCACCACCCACTCACCACCCACTCACCCACCCACCACCACACTACTCACCACCCACTCACCCACCCACTCACCACCCACTCACCCACCCACTCACCCACCTACTCACCCACCCACTCACCCACCCACTCACTCACCACCCACCCACACCTACCCACACACCACCCACCCACTCACCCACACACTCACCACCACCCACTCACTCACCACCCACTCACTCACACTCTCACCCACTCACTCACTCACCTACTCACTCACCCACCCACCCACTCACCCATCCACTCACCACCCACTCACTCACCCACCCATCCACCCACCCACTCACTCACTCACTCACCTACCCACCCACCCACTCACCCACCCACCACTCACCCACACCACCCACTCACTCACCAACCCACCACTCACCCACCCACCCACTCACTCACCCACCCACCCACTCACTCACCCACCCACCCACCACTCACTTACTCACCCACCCACTCACCCTACTCACCCACTCACCACCACTCACCACCACCCATCACCCACTACTCACCACCACTCACTCACCCACTCATTCACTCACTCACCACTCACCCACTCACCACCCACTCACTCACCCACCCACTCACTCACTTACTCACCCACCCACTCACCCACCTACTCACCCACACCACTCACCCACCCACTCACCCACCCACTCACCCACCTACACCACCCACTCACTCACCCACTCATTCACTCACTCACCCACTCACCCACTCACCCACCACCACCCACTCACCCACCCACTCACCACCCACTCACTCACTCACTCACTTTTTCAAGATTCACTGCAATTAAATCTATTATCGGCTCAATTTTTCGTAAATATTACAGCTTCCGTTCTAGGATTGGCAAACCGAGCTAGTAAAGTATAAGCTGACATACTTTTACAGATTTTTTTGTTAAAATCAGGCGCGTTAGGTTGTCGTGAGGGACATTTACCTCAACTTTATCGGGATAAACGACGTGGCAACGATTAACGAGGGTTACTTTCTTTATTTTCACAACATTTACTTATTATACTTTCACGCGCGGAGTCACCCGAAGGCTTCCTGACCCCCACCGAATTGGCGGGAATTTTCAAATGTTTCGTAAAAAATTACCTGAAACCAGTTGCCCGTGTTTCCCTGTGCGACTAGTCGCCGGGGGGGACAGGACCTGGTTGCATTGTCCGCAGGTGCCGGTGGGCACACCTCCCACATTGCTGCCGCAACCGTGGATTCAGTTTGGTAAGCGGAGCTGGTTTGTACACCCCTCTCGCCGTGTGAGTTTGTCTCCTCTCCGTATCGCAGGGGCCGAGTGTGGGCTGTGCCTGGCGAGCCGGGCCGTGCGTCCGCTCGTGTCGGCCTCGCGTGCTCTGAACGTGAAGGACACGACGACCCGGTCGACTGCTCTTCGTGGGGAGTCAGCTTCCAGGCAGAGGTCGCAACCGGGTACCCGATACCCGTACCCTACCCAATAGCCGGCTACACGTACCCAGCCGGGTACGGGTAGCCGTTTGCGACCCTGGTGCGGCCGGGTACTGGTAGGCCGTGAGTCACTGGTGAGTCACCGTTTGTCACTCATTTCCCAACGTCTTGTCTCTTCTCACAATTCAAGTTCATAGAATCAACCCACTCGCGCCTGCAACATGGCTTCATCCCAGAGGTCACAATCAGGTATCCGATACCCGTACCCTACCCGATAGCCGGCTACCCGTACCCGGCCGGGTACTGGTACGGGTACCCGTTTGCGACCCTGGTGCGGCCAGGTACGGGTAGGCCGTGAGTCACTGGTGAGTAACCGTTTGTCACTCATTTCGGGTAGGGTACGGGTAGGCCGTGAGTCACCGGTGAGTAACCGTTTGTCACTCATTTCGGGTAGGGTACGGGTGGCGTACGGGAACCCGCACCGGCCGGGTACTGGTACGGGTAAGGAATCAAAACCCGTTTGCGACCTCTGCTTCCAGGGCAGATGAGCCCGACCCGCCTGGAGGGCCGGCGTCACGGACTCGTTCGAAGATTCGACTCTCACGATCCCGCGCGTTGCACGCTCCCACACCGCCGTGGCTTGTCGCGCTGCGTGAGTCGTGGCGAGCGTTTGGCTGATCCTTTCCGCCATCGAGCTGACGGGCGTTGTTTACACGTTGTGGGTGGGAGATGTCTATTGTGGGGATCTTGTAGGACGCGATTGTTGTGTTGTTAATTTCTCTCGCTGCTGTGTTTTTTTTCTCTCTCTCGGTGTACATATTGTACAGTTGGGTTTGGGTAATTTATCGTGCTGTCTTGTTATTGTAGGAGCGCACCTGCTTGTTGTTATGTATAAGTACGTCGGTTGCTTACTTGCGGGGGAGTTGGCAGCCGGGACGGCTGGAAGCTACAGAGAGGGGGGTGATGTAGTGACTGTGAATGTCACCGTGTGCTGCCGGGCTTACGAAGCTACGGCGGATAATGTGTTCGCATTAAGTGCAGCCCGCTCACTGGGCGTAGTACCAGCAGCGCTAGCGGGGACTTGGGTGAGCGCTGGTCAGCGCGGAGGCACCACGTGCAGTGTGCGGTGAGGGAGCGAGAGGGAGCGTCAGCCAGCCAGGGTTGCGTTGGGGCACGATACGCCGGTTGACCTGCCGACTCGTCACCGGATGATGTTGGAGGGGAGCCACCGGTGGACGGGGGCGGCTGGACGGTCACGTGGTATAGAAGAGCTCTCGGGAGCCTTCGTGAAAGAGTCGGAGAGATCTAGAAGGTGGGCGGGGCGAGGGCCGGAGCCAGCCCAGCCCAGGCCGATATAACGGGGGGGGGGGGGGGGGGCCCGTGAGGGGGTCGTGGGTTCTTCGTGTGGCCGGTGAAGATTCGGGGAGAAGAAGCCTCTAGCCACGCGCTCCGGGAGACAGCAGCTCGTGGTCCGGGCCGGGATAGCGAGCCGTGTCTAGTTGTGCCGTAGCGTGGGATAGATGGGCCCTCAACATAGTAGTAGATTTTACCCTTTCAACTGGTACAAAACTGACACCTTTATACAAGGGGTCATGTTTGCAATAACCACAACACAAGCAGTCAAAATGCAAACAAAAAGAAACTCTGATGATGATGATATGCACTGTCCTTGAAGTTGATTGGTCCACACCCGAGACAGCTTTCCTTAGAGCCCAGTCTCCATTGGTGTTGGACCAGATGACGCACAAGGCGCAACTCAACACCCAAGTGTAGCTCGTGTTGTGTTGAGTTGGTGAAATAGCGTTGCTCCCAAGACGTCTTCCGACTCAGTTGGATTCACTACGTATGTCTATAAAACATGGATTTAAACAAATGCAACAAGCCTCCAGGAAAATTGTTCTTGAAGCACGGCGAGAAAAAAGGCACAAATGTTTAAGAGACGCAGCACGTCATTTATTGCAGATAGTTTCACATCAATAATGTAATCTCAGTCAACACTCACCGTGTTATTATTGATCCCCCATTATTGGCAGACATTGTGTCAAAGGTAGAGGCGCAGCCCTGCAATTCCTGCTCGTGCCACCGCTGGCAGATGGGGCACCACGAGAGGCGGGGGGGAGGGGTAATTTTGACTTTTTCACGTTGGCCAGAGATCTTTGAAGAGGACTTTGTACACGATATGAATACGTCATGACCAATGCCGACAGGAACTAAACGATGTTTGTCGTGAGTGTTGCTGCGTTGTGCATGTTGTCGACTTCCCACAGGATTATAAGATAAAAGGCGTCGTGATGTTCTCACAGGTCAACAATCTTTAGGACCCGACGGGACATTCCATAACTAAAGCTTCATCCTCTGTTCCTGAGGATATCGTTTGGTTGCTTAGTACACTAAGAGAACAGATTTAAAAATAATCCATTCTAGATTTGACGCTTTCATGACTGCAAGGATTCATACTCTTAGGTGTTTTCTGGTAAAGTCACGTGGGTAAAAAATAAGTAAATACAATTTATATAAATAATAATACAAACAAAAATAAAAAAATTATATATAACATTTTTTTATTTCTATTGTTTATTATTTTTATTCTTATTTTCCCCTACGTGACGTAGAAATACTAATAGATAAATAAATAAATAATTATCTTTAAATATATTTTTTATCTTTTTTTTTTTTTTACCTACGTGACTTTACCGAAAAAAACGAACACTTTCAAAAGAATCCTTTTCTCGGAACATGAAAATTACTTTTTTGAGGCGACTGCGAGTATCCAGCTATATTTTGACACAGCTCTACTACTTAAGATTTATGTTCCATTAAAAGTTAAGATTACGTTTAAAAATCACGACTTACGTCGGTAACGCTGAACACACAAATTCATTATGAACGATCAAAGACAAGTCTGACATTGTCACTTAAACAAGTGTTTTACAGAAATTCAGGCAATTTAAAACAACACGTCACCACAATTTCTTGGCTGTAAGTTTTGTTTCTGTGTAACCAGTTTTCAAGACTTCAAGTCAAATTGTGTAAACGCACACAATCAAACGTATCCCACGACAATTCTTTGAACATTTAGGTTGTAGTAGTTAGCACCTTTTAACGCCTCTGAATTTTCATCCGATTCAAACCCCGAGCCATTTAAATGTTTGCATCTCTCATTGCCACTGCCAAAAAATTAATTCCCTCAAGTTTAAAAATATTAACGATGCAGATATTACGATGCACTTTCTAAAGACTTGTACTATTTACTGTTCAACGCCTGACAGAGGTCGGACCACACGTTAATGGAAGCCTCATTTTGTAAAGAGAAAAGTAAAAAATTGACATGGCTTGGTGATGGCCGTTCCCTCTCTTCTGAGGCGCTCGCTCGTCATCGTGCGTGCGAGATGACCACAACCACCACAACCACCACCACGTGACTTTATTTCGTGTTGCGCTGCATTTAGTGCCACAGCGTGTGGATTTACAGCGTTCATTCGTTTGTTTGCTGGTGACTTTGTGTATTTCATATCGGAATCGCCTCCAGTGCTGTTGCTGCTGGCGGCAATAAAAGTTGTGTACAAGTCCAAAGTCTCTGTCTCTCTTCTCGTCTTCACTGTCGCTGCCCGTCGGAGCTCGGCGTCTACGGCTCCTCTCCTAGGTGGGCGTCCCCGGCCCGAACGCTCGCAGGAAGCCCTCCTGTGTGGCAGCACAGAAACAGAACGGAAAGAGAGCCCCACCACCACCATCATCGTCATCATCTTCACCTTTTGGCGTTGTTCTATGATCTGATACTGGTGGTGAGTCACTGGTACAGAGACACTGGGTAGTGAGACACTGGGTAGTGAGACACTGGGTAGTGAAACACTGGTACAGATACACTGGGTAGCGAGACACTGGTACAGAGACACGGGGTAGTGAGACACCGCTAGTGAGACACTAGGTAGTGAGATACTGAGTAGTGAGACACTGGTAGTGAGACACTGGGTAGTGAGACACTGGGTAGTGAGACACTGGGTAGTGAGACACTGGTACAGAGACACTGGGCAGTGAGACAATGGTAGTGAGATACTGGGTAGTGAGACACTGGGTAGTGAGACACTGGTACAGAGACACTGGGCAGTGAGACACTGGTAGTGAGATACTGGGTAGTGAGACACTGGGTAGTGAGACACTGGGTAGTGAGACAATGCTTGTGAGACACTGGGTGGTGAGACACTGGGTAGTGAGACACTTTGGTTGAACGCGTGGAATGTTCGAACGCTCACTGCTGAGGAGAGGCTGCCACTCCTCTGTCGGGAGCTGGACAGGTACTGCCTGGATCGCTGTGGCATTCAGGAGGTCCGGTGGACCGGCTCTGGCTCCTGACATCATGAGGGGTGGACAGTCCTCTACTGGGGGCAGGAGACTGCCAAACAACAGGGAGTGGCTCTTCTTCTGAATAAAAGAATGAAGGGGGCATGGGAGCGTGGCGGTGAGGTGTGGGAATTTGTAAGCCCCAGACAACTTTGGGCTCACCTTTCCATCAACCAGAGGCGAGGAGTGGTGGTCGTGGTTACTTATGCCCCACCGAAGACGAACATCCGTGGAGGGATGCAGACAAGGCCGATGAGTCAGATACCTTCTATGACCTCATGTCACAGATGCTGGCTAAAATGGCCCCTCGGGATAGAGTGAATCTTGTTGGGTGACTTCAATGCCCGAGTTGGTCATGATGCTGGCACCTGGTCTGGAGTGATTGGAGGACATGGGTCAGATCAACTCAATAACAACGGTAGGAGGTTGCTCGATTTTGTACAGCTCATGGGCTTGTAATTACCAACATGCTGTTCCGGCGCAGTGGTGTGATGATAGCGGTGTGTAACCCCTCACCCAGCCTCCCTGTTCCATGAGCCAGGTCTTGCGTGTGGTCAACAGCACAGCGGCCACCGCGTCCGTCAAGGGCCAAGTCTCCTCCGAGTCGCCCAGACGACCGGAGGCCCTCAGGTTCTTGACGAGCAGCGCGCAAAACACCACCATGGACAGCACGCAGCCCCAGCTCATGGGCCCCGCGGTGAGAACCTGCCAAGCCAGGGTCATGACCAGCCGGCGCGGGTCCACTTGCTTCGCCAGCTCCTCCGCGCGCCTCACAAAGTCTGGGATGGAGGCTTCGAACTCCGCCAGCAACGCGTCTCCTCGGGTGTCCAGCGCCTCCTGCAGAAGCTCCACACGCATCCGCACCAGCCGCCGGGAGGTCTGGAGCAGCGAGCGCACCTCCCGGAGCTGCCGCTGTATTTGCCGCGCCTGCCGCTGCAGCTCCTGCCACTCCTTGAACTGCTGCAACTGCTGGAAATGCTCCTGCTGCATTTGGTGCAGCTGCTTGAACCGACGCATCAGCTGCACCTCCTGGAGCTGATACTTCTTCTGCAGCTCCTGCAACAGCTGCTGCTGCTGCACATCCAGGAGCTGCTCCTGCTGCTGCAGCTGCTGCACAAGCTCCTGTTGCCGCTGCACCTGCTGGAGCTGCTCCTGCACCTGCTGCATGTGCTGGAATTGCTGCTGCCAGAGCTTCTCCATCCACTGCTGCTGCTGCTGCTGCGACAGCAGGAGATGTTGCTGCACCGCCGGGAGCTGCAGCTGCAACTGCTGCAGCTGCTGCTGCAGCCCTGCTGCAGCCCCTGCTGCTGCTGCTGCACAGGATGCTGCTCCGTCTGCTGCGTCAGGTGAGCCACGTAGCCGGAGATGAGATCGCCGGTTACGATGGTCAGCAATGCATCGCTTCATCCTCCTCCTCCTCCTCGCCGCAGCCACCGACCCTCGCCTGAATCTCCCCCGCAGAATGCGACGCGGCTTGGGCAGAGGCCGCAGGCTGCATGGCGGTGTAGGCCTCAGTGGCGGGTGTTGAAGTCGTTGTTGCTGATTCCGCTGCTGCTGTGGGAGGGTCGTTGATGTCGCGAGGCAATTGAGGAGGTAGAGGAGGTGGAGGAGGTAGAAGAGGAGGTAGAGGAGGAGGTAGAGGAGGAGGTAGAGGAGGTGGCAACTTCGCGACTCGCTGGAAGCTGTTGGCTTCTACCTCCATTGCGATTTGGTTAACGGTGATGTCGTCGGATCGATCCGTGGATCGATTCCTCCATGCGATTACGTTAGAATCGATTCGATTGCAAGCCGTCGGTCGATTCTGACCTCGATTCACGATCCTCACGGGGGGGGGTCACAGAGACCCATAGACTACAGTAGAGATAAATAATAATAAAAATAATGTAAATAATAATAGAAATAAATAATAAATCACGACGTACAGGTTTTTGTGTGCTTTTTTTACACCTGATGAAGGAAGTTTGTGTTGCCTCTGAAACGTCGTGATTTTTTTTATTATTTTATATTATTTATATTTTTACCTACGTGACTTTACCGAAAAAACCTACTCCTGGCAGTCACGAAAGCTTCAAATGTAGAATTACTGATAGAGACCCATCGACTCTCTAAGTTGTCTTGTGGTTGTTGTTGGTTGTTTGACTTGCATCCCACTGGGATGTTTGCACACAGCGTTGGTGTAACGGTGATTTTTTTCTGCAATATTTTGCTGTCTTTTCTTGGATTTTCTGTTTGCACTCAGTCACATAGTCACTTTAAGATGTTTTTTGTTCATGTTTTGTTTGTTTTTCAGTTTGCACATAGTCACTTTAAGATTTTTTTGTTTTTTTTCAGTTTGCACATAGTCACTTTAAGATGTTTTTTGTTCATTTTTTGTTTTTTTCAGTTTGCACATAGTCACTTTAAGATGTTTTTGTTTGTTTTTTCAGTTTGCACATAGTCACTTTAAGATGTTTTTTGTTCATGTTTTTGTTTTTTCAGTTTGCACATAGTCACTTTAAGATGTTTTTTGTTTGTTTTTTCATTTTGCACATAGTCACTTTAAGATGTTTTTTGTTCATGTTTTTGTTTGTGTTTTCAGTTTGCACATAGTCACTTTAAGATGTTTTTGGTTCATGTTTTTGTTTGTTTTTTCAGTTTGCACATAGTCACTTTAAGATGTTTTTTGTTCATGTTTTTTTGTTTTTTCAGTTTGCACCCGATTCAAGAACCGAATGGCTCACAGGGCTCTACCTAATACATGAACTTGAACTTGACTCACCACACAGAGACCCACAGACGACACCACGCAGACAGCCAATGACACCTGGGGGCTCTGCCCACGTGGTGCTTAAGCCCCGCCCCTTCCTGACACGTGACCCGCGCTGGGCGTGGCCAGACGCTGTCACGTGGGAGCTGCAGTGGTGCCACGTGTCTCTGCTGCTGCTGCTACTTGAAGCCGGTACGGTTATAACAGCAATTGATTAAGAGGTTACTTGCCTTGACGGGTTAGCGGATCAATTTTGACTTAAAACTTTCGTGACTGCAGGAATTCATATTCTTGGTTCTTTTGGTAAAATCGCGTCGATTGAAAATAAAAAATAAGAAAAAAAATGGAAAATTAAAGCAAAACCCGCCATTTTTTCAATATTTTATTATAATTTTTTTCTATTTACGTGACTTTATAACAGAAAGAACCAATAATATATCGAGGGTTAGCCGATTTCATTCGTTAATCGATTTGTTGTCTGCTGGGATTTTTGCACACAGAGTTGGTGTAACTGTGATTTTTTTCCTGCAATATTTTGGCTGTCTTTTCTTGGATTTTCTGTTTGCACTCAGTCACATATTTACTTTAAGATGTTTTTGTTTGTTGCGGTTGTACCCGATTCAAGAGCCGAATGGCTCACAGGGCTATACCTAATACTTGAACTTGAAGTAGCGGTGACGTCACCACGACGCTTGTGCACACACCACACACACACACAGTCACACACACAGACACACACCACACACACAGTCACACACACAGTCACACACACACAGTCACACACACAGACACACACCACACACAGTCACACACACACACAGTCACACACAGACACACACCACACACAGTCACACACACAGACACACACCACACACACAGACACACACAGTCACACACACAGTCACACACCACACACACAGTCACACACACACACACACAGACAACACAGACACACACACAGACACACACAGACACACACACACAGTCTCACACACACACACAGACACACACCACACACACAGTCACACACCACAGACACACACACAGTCAACACACAGACACACACAACAACAACAACCGCCATTTGCCACATTTTATGTTCGCACTTAGTCACAAAGTCACTTTAAGATGTTTTCTTGTTCATGTTTTGTTTTTTGTTTGTTGCGGTTGCACCCGATTCAAGAGCCGAATGGCTCACAGGGCTCTGTACCTAATACTTGAACTTGAACTTGCAGTAGTGCAGCTCATCAGGGGGCGGATTCAGCAAGTTGCAGCAGCCTCTTTCGAAGGTGCAGCGACGTCTCTCCAGCAGCAGCTGCAGTAGCAGCATCATCAGCAGCTGCAGTACACGTGCACAATTCATTCCAAGGTGTGTGTGTGTGTGGTGTGTGTGACTGTGTGTGGTGTGTGTGGTGTGTGACTGTGTGTGGTGTGTGTGGTATGTGACTGTGTGTGGTGTGTCTGTGGTGTGTGTGGTGTGTGACTGTATGTGGTGTGTGTGGTGTGTGACTGTGTGTGGTGTGTGTGACTGTGTGGTGACTGTGTGTGGTGTGTGTGGTGTGTGACTGTGTGTGGTGTGTGACTGTATGTGGTGTGTGTGACTGTGTGTGACTGTGTGGTGTGTGTGTGGGGGTGTGTGACTGTGTGTGGTGTGTGTGACTGTGTGTGACTGTGTGTGGTGTGTTACTGTTTGTGGGGTGTGTGTGGTGTGTGACTGTGTGTGGTGTGTGACTGTGTTTGTGTGACTGTGTGTGGTGTGTGTGTGGTGTGTGACTGTGTGTGGTGTGTGACTGTGTGTGGTGTGTGACTGTGTGTGGTGTGTGACTGTGTGTGGTGTGTGCTGTGTGTGGGGTGTGGTGGTGTGACTGTGTGTGTGACTGTGTGACTGTGTGTGTGACTGTGTGTGTTGTGTGACTGTGTTTGTGTGACTGTGTGTGTGGTGTGTGCACAAGCATCGTGGTGACCCACCCCCCGTGTGCCACAGTGCCGGCCTTGATAAGTGCTGGCGAGATGAGGGGAGGGGCAGAGACGTCGCGAGAGATCGGCAAAGAGAAGGGGAGGCCAGGGGAAGACAGGAAGAGAGAGAGAGACATCAGAGGGCGCCGAACCTTCGTCGATTTATAAGCGAGAGGTTAGGGGGATTCAGTTGGGAAGGAGGGAGAGAGACGGGGAGGCAGGGAGGGAGGGAGATGGGGGGGCAGAGAGAGAGAGAGATGGGGGACAGAGAGGGGGAGAGATGGGGGGGCAGAGAGGGAGAGGGGGGCAGGGAGGGAGAGAGACGGGGGGGCAGAGAGGGGGAGAGAGAGGGGGACAGGGAGGGAGAGAGACGGGGGGGCAGAGAGGGGGAGAGGATAGGGGGGCAGAGAGGGAGAGGGGGGCAGAGGGGGGAGAGACGGGGGGGCAGAGAGGGGGGCAGAGAGGGGGAGAGAGAGGGGGGCAGGGAGGAGAGGGGGAGGGGGGGAGGGAGGGAGAGACGGGGGGCAGAAAGGGGGAGAGACAAAAGGGCAGGGAGGGAGAGAGCTGTAGATGCCACTGGTTCTTCACGTTCTGTAGATGTAGATGCCACTGGTTCTTCACGTTCTGCAGATGTAGATGCCACTGGTTCTTCACGTTTGTAGATGTAGATGCCACTGGTTCTTCACGTTCTGCAGATGTAGATGCCACTGGTTCTTCACGTTCTACAGATGTAGATGCCACTGGTTCTTCACGTTCTACAGATGTAGATGCCACTGGTTCTTCACGTTCTGCAGATGTAGATGCCACTGGTTCTTCACGTTCTCCAGATGTAGATGCCACTGGTTCTTCACGTTCTCCAGATGTAGATGCCACTGGTTCTTCACGTTCTGCAGATGTAGATGCCACTGGTTCTTCACGTTCTCCAGATGTAGATGCCACTGGTTCTTCACGTTCTACAGATGTAGATGCCACTGGTTCTTCACGTTCTGCAGATGTAGATGACACTGGTTCTTCACGTTCTACAGATGTAGATGCCACTGGTTCTTCACGTTCTACAGATGTAGACGCCATTGGTTCTTCACGTTCTACAGGTGTAGATGCCACTGGTTCTTCACGTTCTGCAGATGTAGATGCCACTGGTTCTTCACGTTCTACAGATGTAGATGCCAATGGTTCTTCACGTTCTGCAGATGTAGATGCCACTGGTTCTTCACGTTCTGCAGATGTAGATGCCACTGGTTCTTCACGTTCTCCAGATGTAGATGCCACTGGTTCTTCACGTTCTACAGATGTAGATGCCACTGGTTCTTCACGTTCTGCAGATGTAGATGACACTGGTTCTTCACGTTCTACAGATGTAGATGCCACTGGTTCTTCACGTTCTACAGATGTAGACGCCATTGGTTCTTCACGTTCTACAGGTGTAGATGCCACTGGTTCTTCACGTTCTGCAGATGTAGATGCCACTGGTTCTTCACGTTCTACAGATGTAGATGCC